TCCCTCACTTCCTACTCCTCCTCACACTCCTTCCTTCCCCTCCTCCCCCTCCCTCCCACCCTTCCTACCCTCCTCCCTCCTCCCCCCTTCCTCCTCCCTCCATCCCGGCAGGGGAAAACCCCACTGAATGAATGAAAGCGCAGGGTGGACTTTCCCCTCACATTCCCTCGCTCTCTTCCACGGCCCGAGAACTGTTTGCGGTCTCCCTTCACAGCTACAAACTACGCATTTATGAATACCTATGGATTCTCCCTCTTTTCTCTCTCTCTGTCTCTGTCTCTGTCTCTCTGTCTCTCTGTCTCTCTGTCTCTGTCTCTCTCTCTCTCTCTCTCTCTAGGGTAATTTATTTCCGGGTGAACAAAGATGGCGGGGAGTGAGGAAGGATAAAGACGACGCGTGCAGGTGTGCTGGGAAGAAGCGTGCGTGCGTGCGTGCGTGTTTGTGTGTATGTGTATGCGTGTAGAGAGATGTGTGTGTACTTGCGTGGGTTTACGTTTCCTTCGCCTCCCATTCCAACCGTACGAACGAGGGAAATAGGACGCAAAGGAATAGAGGGGGAATTACAGCAAGATGTAGGTAGGCAAGGAACACACCCTCACAAAAAAGTGAAATGCGACAGAATCTAAATAAAGACCGAGATTCAATGAGAGGGAGGACGCTAAGGAGATGCAGATGATGCGGACCGACTGCAGCATCCGCAATGGAAAATAAGAAGCAGAATGAATTAAGCCAATAAATGAAAAAAAAAAAATGAAAATGAAAAAAAAAATAAAAAAAATTGGAAATGGGAAAAAAACGCAAAAAAAAAAAACAAACGGAAAAAATATAGCGTAAACATACAATATTCCATCCCTCAAAAAAATATTTATTCTCGCCCCTCCAACGAAACGACAAAGGAACAAACACCCGCCTTCTTCATAACACCTGAACAATGACAAACAACAGACGACACAACAGGGCAGAAAATAATAAAATATCGCCAATATCCCCGGATGGAGGGAAGGTGTACATTATGAAACACTCCCCCCTTCCCCCCTTCCCCCTTCCCCTCTTTCCCCTCCCTGCCCCTCTCCCCGTGGCCCTGGGGCGGATCAGGGGGAAGCCGTGAATGCAGTAATGAGGACAGATTTGATAACGAGGAGGAAAGGAGGCGTGAATTTGATGGAGTAAAAAGAAAATGAAGAAAAAAAAAAGTGTTGCGCGAGAGGTGTTTCCGAGGAGGGAGGTGGAGCGGGGTGGGAGGGGGGGGGTAGAAGTGTGGTAAAAGGAAAAGGGAGGGGAGGGAGGGGGAGGTGGGAGGGGGAAGTGTGAGAAGGGGAGGGAGGGAAAGGGAGAGGGGAGGGGGAGGGAGGGAGAGAAAAGAAGTGAGTGAGTGAGTGAGTGAGTGAGTGAGTGAGAGAGAGAGAGAGAGAGAGAGAGAGAGAGAGAGAGAGAGAGAGAGAGAGAGAGAGAGAGAGAGAGAGAGAGAAGAGAAGAGAGAGAGAGAGAGAGAGAGAACAAGAGATAGAGAGAGGCGAGAAAAGAAAAAAGAAAGAAAGAACCACTGCGAGGGCAACACACAAAAGAAAGAGGAGAGGATAAAGGATTTTTAAAAGCACCAGATGGACATATCAGCAAACAATAGGGAGGAAAAGAAAGAAGGAAAGACAGAAAGAAAGAAAACGAAAAAGAGAAAAAGAAGACACAGAAATAAACGGACGTTAGATTGGACAATTTTTATAGTCCAAGGGCTGAATGGAAGGAACGAGGAAGATCACAAGCAGTGCGAATCAAATAAACTCCACAGGATTGAATGAAGCAAAGGGAAAGAGAAGGACTAGGGAGGAGGAGGAAGTGAGGGAGGAAGGAGGAGGAGGGAGGAAGTAGTGGTGGAGGAGGAAGAGGAGGAGTGAGGGAGGAGGAAAGTAAGTGGTGGAGGAGGAGTGGAGTGGAAAATAAAACAGCGAGGAGAGGAGGGAGAGGAGGAGGAGGAGGAGGAGGAAGGAGAGGCAGGAAGAGAGGAGAGGAGGAGGAGGAGGAGGAGGGAGGAGGAGGAGGAGGAAGATGGAAAGATGGAAGAGTAGTGGTGGAAGGAGAGAGTGGAGGGGAAGTAGGAAAGCAGGGGAAAGGACGGAAGTATTGAGAAGGAGGATGGAGCTGGAAGAAGCAGGAGGAGGAACGGAGGAAGAGGAGGAGTGAGGGAGGAGGAAGTAGTGGTGGAGAAGCAGTGGAGCTGGACAGAGGAGGAGGAGATGGAAAGGAAGGAGAGGATATGGGAGGGAGTAGTGAAGGAGGAGAGGAACACAGGAAGCAGGAGGAGGAGGAGAAGTAGTAAGAAACGGAGGAGGTGGAGGAGGAGGAGGGAGGCGGAGGGAGGAGGAGGATGGAGGAGTGGAGAGGAGGAAGGCGGAGGAGGAGGAGTAGAAGAGGCAGAGGAGGAGGGTAGGAGGAGGAGGTGAGTGGAGGAGGAGGAGGAGGAGGAGGGAAGGAGGAGGTAGTGATGGAGGAGTAAGGAAGGGAG